CCTAACCGCGGTTAGGGTTAGTTGATTTCGAAAATGGAATAACCGGTTATTTTGCGGTTAACTAACCGTTAAATAACCAGTTATAACCAGCCCTATTATACACCTTCAAAACGCACTTGAGAACGTCGAAAACGCTTAAAATTTGACTAAGTTACGGTCAAATCTCTAAAATATCTCTCAAATGTGTAGACTTTCAAGGATAATTGCATAAATATGTCAATTCTTCACCGATTTTAGCGTTCTTGGGCTCGTTTTAAAGCTAGAATATGCAGAAATAATATCTATCAAGATACATATGAGCATATTTGCCTTGTTATAACCGATTCTTTATTTTTCGGTCCTAACCAGTTAGTAACTGCAAATAACCGACCGTAACCGGTTAGTTGCGGTCTGGTTAGGTTATTTTAGGTTTCGGGACAAAGGCTAACCAGTCTCAGTCTCGGTTAGAGCCCCTGGGCACCCAATAACCGGACCTAACCGGACTTTCGAACACTACTTACATAACTGCCCCTGAGGAATGTTTTTCCACAAAAGCTATTGACACACCACGACACGTCAAATAATGTCATATTCCAGGACCTAAACGTAGCGCCCTATCAACTAGTATATTCAGAATGGTGGAACGAATGTAGACACCTGTCACAAATGTCCAAATGTGGCAAGAAAATGTACCGGAAAGGTATCATTCAAGCAACCTTACAATAACCTGATGGCCAGGGCAGTACACGTTTAGTCCTTGCAATCCAGTCTTGCGTTTCCTCATCGGTATACTTCAAATGCAATGGGCCCCTTGCAAATTCAACTTTACCCTCATCTTTAAACAAAGCTGTGTTATCCATGTAGTCCTCCTCTCTCACCCCGCAAAGGCATATAACTTTGTGTTCAGAGATTCATCCCCCATTTAGCTGGTCCAACTCCTCACAAGCTCACTTTGCTTGCCGAGCATCGTATTATCCATTCCGAGGACTGTACTTCCAATCCTCTTTCTCGCAGTGCTCCTTTCCTCCTTCTCTTAGTCATTCCAGATGCGCACTCAAGTACCCAATGACGTCGATAATTGAGCTGCCCCGCATCTTGGCATTGCCTCACAAGACGCGGACGTTACCCGAATTCTGTGTTGCGAGGTTTATGGGAAGAGGGAAAGATATCAGGATTTATTCGGGCAGGTGTTCTCAATGCCCAAGAGAAGAAGGGCACTGTCAAAACCTCAGGTGAATGGTCACTGTCAAGCCCTCCCAGAGGATAGAGGCCTCCCAACGGTAAAAGGAATGTGCGACAGGAGAGAGATGAGGTAACCCACTTTTGCGTGGGATCGTTTTGTCAACTGACCGATTTTTAGGACGGGTGCTGAGAAGAGTTTGGCCAATGACCCTGGCATGATTAATCCATTGAAGTGTTTTAGTTAAGCGGTGATATGTGGGGTCATGAGGATTGACGCAGTAAAGAAGTCATAAACCCTTTCGCCATTCCTTTCACCATCATTGTCTGGGGCAGAAGAAGGGAGGGGAGGAGGACATGTTACATCCTGGATGGTGCCATATGCTTCTTGGTGTCGGACCTGCAGCCACATCAAATCGGTGAAAACAACTGGCAGTGGAAAGAGCCCTCCCTGGCTTTGTTGGCATATTCAGCACAGATGGGGAATAGTAACGTCCATGCCAGCAACTTCACAACATTGGTATTTCCATCCATCATTCCTGCGCTAACGGTATTCAGAGGGCATGATGTTGGTGCACACTGCACAGGCATCAGGGAAAACCCCAACTCCACATTTGCCCTAATAACCAAAGTATTTGGTGAAATCACCTCAAATTTCCATGAATTAAGTCATATTACTGCTCTGAGCACATTACTTCAAATTATCCCATCTTGATATGGTTCCTAACTCTTACCTCAAATTATTTTGAAGTTACTGGTGGGTGAGTAGAAATTATCTGCATCTGACATGAAGTTACATCAGAATTAGATGGTAGTTAGTTCAATTATGGTGGCATTTTTACCATTTTTCAGGTACTGAATATTGTTACAGCATGGGCACACCAGTTATTTGAGGGCCCAACAGTAAAATTGATTGAGAAAATATATAGAATACATGAACATCTACGTGACAATGATGGATGGATTAGAAGTATAGAAGCCATCAGATGAGGANGGGANNCTGTCAACACCAGTGACCTGTCATCACCCACGAGCCATCATCAACCACAAGCCGTCATCACCCATACCAACGAGCCATCATAACGCTATTGAATCCCTGAGTATTTGCCGGTGGGAGTGATACTCGTTGAGCTGATACTGAGGGAAGCAAGAGGGAAGCGTGAGTTTCAAATGTGAATGGTCATGAGATAGGCAAATTCAGTACTTACTTTGTGTGTATCGTACCCCGTTGCTAGGCCAGTATCGAACAAGGAGACGAGGGTGGAGAACTGGCCACGACAACGGATATGAAAGAATTCATTGAAATTCACGAGGGACAAGTCAACCACTCACCACCAGCTTGTGTCACTGCCTCCTCAGCTCCCTCCAGCGAGTGTTCAGTCTGAAAGAAAAAACTCGGACCGCGCGGACGGGCAGGGGATGCGAAATGATGACTGGTGGCTACCACTTTTATGATAAAACTAAGGCAATTGCCTGTAGAGCTGTGTGTATAAGTCCACAAGTTTTATGAAAGGCATTTCATAGATGTGTCCTGTGTTTTCTTTCTCATAAAACCTATGTTCTTTTCATAAGATATAGGCAAGGCCACAGAGTGCTTTTCATAATTAAACCTGTGCACTTTCAATAGGTATTTCATTCACTGGGTTAGGTGTATTCATTGCCTTTTTCATAATTAATGGTGTGCACTTTCATTGAATATTTCATTAGGAATTTTGGACGCTTTCATTGCTTTTTTCATAATTAATCCTGTGTGATTTCAATAAATATTTCATTCACTATGTTAGGTGTATTCAATGCCTCTATCATATCTAATGGTGTGCGCTTTCATTGAATATTTCATTAGGAATATTGGATGCTTTCATTGTACTTTTCATAATTAATGTTGTGCAATTTCAATAAATATCTCATTCCCTAGGTCAGGTGT